AGAAGGGAGAATTATGGTTTAAGAAATATAGGGTTTCTTTTTGGGGTGATGGAAATATTCTAAAATCAATTGTGGAGATGGTTGCAAAACACTGAGTATAAGAAAAGCCACTGAATGGTGCACTTTAAATCAGTGAATTCACCTCAGTAAAGCTGTTTTTTGTTTTCTTTAAATGCTGTGTGTTTTCATTTGTGGTTTTCAGAGAACTTCCACATGCATTTTTTTCTATCAACTTTTCAGCATAATCCTGTATGATTAAGACAGACCAAAGGAAGGGGATAACCATTTATTGATCACCTACGATGTTGCAGGCAGCGTACTAGTTTCTATCTTCGTATAAATAGTGTCAAATTAGAGTGTCGGCTCCAGAATCAAACTGCATGAAAATAAATCCTGGCTTGATTACTGGGTAAGCTACTTATCTCAGTTTTCTTAGCCGTAATGATAGTACCTGCTTCGTGGAGCTGTTATGAGGACTAAACGATCAAATGCATGGCAAGCGCCCAGTGCTATAATTTCCACTGTGATCGGCATTCCCTGGAGAAAGGTGGCCCTGGCTCTGTCCTACCAGTGAGAAGGCTGAAACTTAGCAAAAGAAAGCCTTCTCCAATGTTATACTTACAGTCAGGGACAAAACCATGACCAGAACCCAGGTTTGGGCATTCCGAGTATCCTGCCTTTTCCTCTCTTTCACACAACTCCTTGGGCTCCAGTTATGGGAAATATTGGTCCAAATCAAGCCAAACTCACCCCCCTTGTTGGACTCCCTTGTGTTCAAGGTGAGACATGTGCAAGATGGCAGATGGTCATCCAGGATCCCTTCTGTAGCCACAGAATGGAGTGGTGTTAGTTCCCTGGGGCTTTTTCCATCTACCACCCACGTATGTAGGGATTTAGTCAAACACATTATAGGTGCAACAGAAATCCCAAAGGGCAAATCCTTGTAGGTAATCAACAAGATTACCTAAAGATTTTTTCTTAAAATTGTCTTAAATTTTTTTTCTGCAAATAGACGTTAGTTTTTAAGAGCAGTTTTAGGTTCACAGCAAAATGGAGGGGAAGGCACAGAGATCCCCCCCACAGCCCCCCGCCCCCCCACAGCCTCCTACATTATCATAGTTCCCCTTGGAGTGGTCCATTTGTTATGACTGATGAACCTACATTGACACATCATTATCACCGAGGACGGTTTTTGCAGAGCTTTTCGTTTCCTAGTTCATTTCTGTTCTCTCTCTTAAATAGTTCCCATTCATCTTGCTGCGGGGGTAAGTCAAGTTGACTTTGCTGTCTGTGGAGTCCCCTCTTGGCTGTGTAAAGGCCTCACGGAGGTAAACATGAGCGAGGGCTGCTTGGCACAGGAGTCAGTTCTCGGCCATGAGCCCCAACACCAGGCTTGTTACACTGGTGAGAGTTCGTCTCAAGAGTTTCCTCTGTAAATATTATTTCTCCAGGATGTCCAAGTTTCATAGCTCATTTTCACTGGATTTCTTTCTGGCTAAGTTTCCTAAACATATATCCTTCTCCAAGCAGAGCTGGCAGGAAGGAGTAACACCCAGCCCGAGCTGCTCGTGTAACCGACTAGGTGTCCAACTCCCTACTGTGACTTCATTCCCGTTT